CCCCCAACTTCCCCCAGGGCCTTGACGAGGCAGCACTGAGTCCTGGGGTACCCACGAGGAGCAGCCAGAATCGATCCCGTGCTCGCTCAGCTGGACCCCAACACCCAGAACCAGAAGTGATGAGACTGAGATAGCTAAAAGAGCCACGAGGACAAAGGCAGGTGACTGAGGAAGGAGCTATCCCACAAGCACCGTGCTGCACAGCTGGTCCCTCCGAATCCACTGCAGCTCCTAATTATGTGGACACACATGTGCACACACATACACATGCACACACACATGTACAGACAGGTACACATGCTCACAGGCACATACACATATGTGCACACGGAGACATACATATGCACAAGACATGTATCAGAACCAGAAGTGATGAGACTGAGATAGCTAAAAGAGCCATGAGGACAAAGGCAGGTGACTGAGGGAGGAGCTATCTCACAAGCACCGTGCTGCACAGCTTGTCCCTCCGAATCCACTGCAGCTCCTAATTATGTGGACACACATGTGCACACACATACACATGCACACACACATGTACAGACAGGTACACATGCTCACAGGCACATGCAGTGATGAGACTGAGATAGCTAAAAGAGCCATGAGGACAAAGGCAGGTGACTGAGGGAGGAGCTATCTCACAAGCACCGTGCTGCACAGCTTGTCCCTCCGAATCCACTGCAGCTCCTAATTATGTGGACACACATGTGCACACACATACACATGCACACACACATGTACAGACAGGTACACATGCTCACAGGCACATGCACACATGTACACACGGAGACATACACATGCACAAGACATGTACACACATGTACACAAACGTACACATACACAATCACAGACACATACACACAGACATGTACACACACACACGCACACAAGGTCTTGCCGTATCTGATCCTCCTGCCTTGGACTCCCTAAGTGGCTGGGATCACACTCAGGGGTTACCACGCCTGGCCCTTAGGTTTGAGCAGGAATCTAACTCGGCCTCCCACGTGGTCCCAGCCTGCAGAGCGCAGGGTCTTGGCGGTGCTCATCACCACGGATGGGCCTCCGCTCCTAAATCTTTTCTCTTACAGAGTGCCGCTCCCTGATGGGGGCTGTTCATGGTGGTTCTGGGGTCTCTAACATTTTTCCCGATTGTGGTCCTAAATCCATCCAAAGCGGAGGCAGTGGAGGTTGAGGTTCTTGCTGGTGTGAAATGACTGAGTACAAACTGGTGGTGGTTGGAACAGGTGGTGCTGGAAAAAGTGCGCTGAAATCCAGCTAATCCAGAACCACTTTGTAGATGAATATGGTCCCACCATAGCGGATTCTTACTGAAAACGAGTGGTAACAGATGGTGAAACCTG